GGGCTGGGCTGCCCCGGGGTGCCGAGCGGGCGCAGACCGCGGCCCCTGGAAGCCGCGTCCGTTAGATTCGGGCTCTGAGTCATAGAGCCGGGTAGGTTGGAAAGGCCGTTTAAGAACACCGAGTCCAGCCGTGATGCCGGGGATCGGGATTTTTAGAAGCCTCCGCGTGAAATCTCCTGAAGTTGTTACCCGAAACTACTTATTGTTTATCCCAGAGAAGGTACAAGCAGAACGCTTGGAAAAAAAACCCTAAAAGCTTTCAGGCAGCACGGTTAGGAATGATTACTGAGGTCTGTTGCCTGTGAGCAGGGTGTCAAGGCTAGTGAAGGAGCAGTCCCTCCTGCGGGAGCCCGGCCGGCTCCTCCAGAGCTGGCTGGAGCATGGGGGTGCCCCTGCCCGCGGCTGGCGCCCTGGCAGCGAGGGGCAGTGCCCGTGGAGAGGGGAAGGGCAGCTGGAGGAAGGAGCCGGGGCAGCCTGTCTCCTAGGCGGGTACACCCCCTGCTGTGCCCGCCTTCTTGTCTCCAGACCCCCAAGAGTTTGGAAACGCAGGCAGGAGCCTCTGGAAGGCACAACGAGTGGAAACCGTGGCAAGAAAAGAGCAATCCTGCGTTCTCCACTGGTCGGGGTTAAGCAAAGTAAGAGCTGCCCGTGGCACAACGCGGGTGATCGCCGTGCTCCGGTGCTGGGCTGGTTGTATCTTGTGGCAGGAGGATTAGGCCTCCAGCACGTTGCTCTGGAGAAGACATTGAGCACGGCAGCTTAGACTAACCAGCAACAGATGCGAGCTAAGCAGCTGCTGCTGGGATCTGGATTTATTGTGGAGGTATGTGGTGACAGAGCCAGAGAGGAGCTGTGTTGTGAGAGTCTGCAAAGGCAGGGTGCCACGGGTGGTATGTGCCCTGTGCCCTGGCTGATGCTTTTCCCCTCCCTTCCCTCCCCACTCCTCAAATCTGTGGGTTATAATCATGTCTTGGGCAGAGTCATGGGTTTGATCCTTATATCACAGGTAAAGCACTCTGCCATGTCGTGGATTTCCTTACTGCTCCTGTGGGCTAAGGAAACAAGTTTTTAAAGCATGTTATTCAGCAGCATGTATGAAAATCTGTGTTTTTCTGCGTGGCAGAGAAGCAGGGTGCTGTTTGGGGGTGAATAGAATTGCTGGGTGTTTTTGCACTTGCCCAAAGGAAGTAGAAATACAACGAAAATCAGCAAATCGGCACTCTTTTTTTTTTCTGTAAGGGGAGGAGGGATTTGTTTATTATTATTATTCTTCCTAAAACATCCATCTGGCATCTTTGCGGCCAGAATCTTATTGATGATGCACACTGGATGTCTTCTGTCAAGTTGTAGTGATCCTGACAGTAAAGGCTTTTCATCTTTGGGTTGTGTACATCAGGGTGAATAGGATTGCTGGGTGTTTTTGCACTTGTCCAAAGGAAGTAGAAATACAACCAAAATCAGCAAATCAGCACTCTTTTTTCTATAAGGGGAGGAGGGATTTGTTTATTATTATTATTATTCCTAAAACATCCATCTGGCATCTTTGCGGCCAGAATCTTATTGATGATGCACACTGGATGTCTTCTGTCAAGTAGAAGTGATCCTGACAGTAAAGGCTTTTCATCTTTGGGTTGTGTACATCAGTGATTTTGGTAAGTGACCCCATTGTGCTGCCTTGTGAACTAGCCCCTGTTAGTGTAATTCCTTTCCTTGAAAAGCCTGAGCTCAAGAGGAGAGCTTGGTGACCCTTAAAGAAGTGACAAAAGTGAGGTTTTGCAGTAATTTAAAAAATATGTGTAGGCATTTTGGGTTTGTTTTTACAAAAGAAGGAAAGAGGCAAGAAAGGGAAACGGAGCACTCTGCTTTGCTCCCACTGAAATAATGTGGATTTTTTCCATTGGCTTAATCTGGAACAGAATCAGAGCCTAAGGCCACAGACATACAGGAAAAGTTGCATCTATGTAATTAAAGTTGAAATTGCCTTTTTTCCCCCTATTGACTTAGAGAAACTGGTTGTCTCTTGTTTTGGTGAGGTGGGGGATATTATTTAGGTGTTTTTCAGTGGAGGAAAATATTAGAAGAATTGGATTCTTTGTTCTGTGGCTGAGATTAAGACTCTGTAGAGGGCATGGGATCAAAGCTGGCCATTTAAATCTCTGGGGCAGCCTGTATCCTGCTGTGCAGAGGTCCTGGCATGCGTGCTGGGTGCCAGCACAGCAGCTTTTGTGTTGGGCTTTGCATTCCAGCAAAATCTTGTCAGAACTGAATACTCACAGAGAACGAAGTTGCAGGTTTGGGGTTTGTTGTTTTGGTGGGGTTTGGTTGGTTGTTTAGCAGTGTAATGTATCAGTGCAAGTGTTTGATAAACGTTTTGCTCCTATAGTGACTGTTTAGGGTTTAATTTACACCAGTATTCTCTTCCCATACGGATGAAAGGGAAACTTCTAGTTACAATCATAAATGTTGACATAGTTGGGTTTGTTCTAAAAGAGCTGTCCACACCAGAAATGTCACTGACCTTTTAGCTGAATTGATGTAACTGCTAAAACTTTTCCCTCCTGCTAAAAGAGGTGTCCCAACTGAATGGGAGGGGAAAAGCCTCTCTTCTCCCCCTGAAACAGCCACGAAACAGCCAAGGGAAGAATTTTCTGCCAAGTGCCAGAGCAGGTGCAAGAGAAACTTTGTGGAGTGTGAATGGGAAGGGAGAAAGAGGGAATCTTGGCTTTTAGATGGTTTTAGGTATCTCACCAGTATTTTCTCTGGTATTCCTTTTGGGGTGGATTTCCATACTCAATATATGAGGTGCAGGAGATGAGTAATAAACCTGCACAGCCTTCCTTGCTTACTTTGAGGAACACTCACTTAGGTCTTTTTGTCATTTCTCTATCTTTGTCTCTCCTTTTTCTTTCTTTTTTTAAATCAAATTTCACTTTGAGATAGCCAAAAGTTTGGGAATCTGTTCTAACGAAGTATCCAGTGCTATGTGGCATTCTTCTGGCAATCATTCTGGTGTTAAAAGGCATGGGCAGGTGATGTGCCTCATAGGAGAGGACTTCTTAACAAGGTGCTGCCCCACATCCTTACCATGCCCTCTCTGGGATGTCCCTGAGGGGATGTGAAGCATCCCAAGGATGCTTATGGTGATGTGAGGAGAAGGTGTGGGTGTGCATGTGCCTGCCAGGTACCTTTGTCCCCACAGAACCCTGAGGACCTGTTGCAATTGGGGCATGACTAGATGGGCTTCTGAAGCTACGTGGGTGGTGGGCTTTTCCCACTGGTGTCTGCACAGCTGATTCCTCTCTAGGACTCCAGGTTTGGCAATGCTGAAGTGCCTCTCGTTGCCTCCATCAGCCTGGGCTGTCCTTGCTGCCCCTCACACTGGAGTTTGTTTCTGCCTCTCCATCTGTGTGTTGAACCTTTTCAGGTTAGGGCAGGTTTGGTGAGGGAAGAGCTGGATCCAAAGCCTGTGGAAGTGGATATGTGAGCTGTGTCTCATCTCTAATAGGCTTTGTATGCCTCACCCAGAGACAGGGGATCAGAGGTCAGGGTTTATTTAGAAACGTTGGAGAACTTAAATATACACCATAGCTTTTATTTAGTGGTCAGTTTTCGTGCAAAATGAATACCTGATAAAGCCTCATGATGGGAGGTTGTTCCACCTGCAGCTGGGGTGTCTGTGCTGAGAGCAGCCTGCTGAGCTGGAGCATCTTCTGCAGTGGGAGCAATGCTCTGCTAACGCAGCCCTGAGGGCTCCCATGTCCCTCTGGTACACCAGGCAATGACAGCTGTTTAAAAACACTCTTCTTCCATTTCCTTTTCGCTTTGAAGAGGCAGACAGGAGATGGGGTAGGAGCCTTGTTGTGCTTTAACTTCATCAGAGGTGGCTGGTTGTGTTCTGTAAAACACAGACCCGTGCAGCAGAGGATCCAAGGAAAGTCCCTCTGCTTTCCCCGTGTGCAACAGATGTGGCTAGGAAGGGGAATGGGATGGGAGCACATCAGATGGGCACTGGAGAGCAGTGTTTGAAAGAGGAAATAGCAAGCTGCCTGATGTGTTGCAAGGGAATAGTATTATAGACATCAGATGCTTTTATTTCTTTAAATGCCTGTGGATATAGCTAGGAGGTGACACACCCACATTGTTCTAAGAGGTGTATTTATCAAAAGAAAAAAACCTTTTCTTACTCAGTCACTTGAAGTCTAAATCTAGTCTGTTCTCACCAGGAAATACATATTTTACTGCAAGAATGATTATATTTTTGAAGACATATATTAATGCAAGTGAGAGTACTGTGAACCTCGTTTCTTTTAGAAACATGCCTTTTTGCTTATTCATCCCTCTTCTCTCTCCTGACTCTCATCCCTTTTCTTTCATCCTGACCTTTTCTATTGTAAGTGGAGTGTGTTACACAAGTACAGACCTCAGTTGCACTGAGCCTCTGATCACTGTTCCTCACATAAATGTTTTGATGCAGATTACTGTTTTGTACCAGGGAGCTGCTGCATTTCAAGCATCTATGTAATCAGAACAGGTTTGCAATTTTATATAACATTTAATGTCTTCTTTTGGTTTGTTTTCTTTTTCTGGATTTTATTTCAGGTCATCTAGATGATGATGGATTGCCACATGGATTCTGTACTGTCACCTATTCATCAACAGACAGATTTGAAGGAAACTTTGTGCATGGTGAAAAGAATGGCCGTGGCAAGTTCTTCTTTTTTGATGGCAGGTAGATACTTTTTGGTTTTTCCTCTGTGTTGTGTCTCCTGCTTGCAGTGATACAAAACTGATCTATGCTTATTGTATGCTGCTGAGTTTGTGGATAAGCTTTCTCACTGCAAACTGTGGCTGGAAGGTTTCCTCTGCTGCTGCTGTAGCCATACCTTTGTAGGCTTGGAGTTTTTGCCTGGAGTTGTGTCCTGGTGGGACAATGCAGTGGTGTGAGCTCTTTTTGCACTGTAAACTAGTTAGAGACCATAAGAACTGGGAGGTGTTTGGAGCTTTTAGAAACCATGCTGACAATGACTTGGACTATAGAGTTCAAGTCCATAACCACAGGTGGGATTCTTTGTCTTGCTGTCTGTGCCAGACCTCATGCACCAATGTAGGACCTTGGCAGAGAGGCTTACCCTATGCTTGGTCTTGGAAATTGTTCAGTGGTTAAAGGATTGAGTTCAACATGGTTTCATTCTGAGCCCTGGCTAATCCTCCACAAGTTGCCTGTGGCCTGATTTGCTTTCAGAAAAGCCCCTACTGTCATTGCCCCTCTCTTCACTGGGAGGTGTGACAGTGCAGTGGGCTGGTCTGTGCCTAGGCAGGTGTTTTCTTCTCAGGTCTTCATTATAAACACCTTGTATGTCTTGCCCCAGTTGCAGCCTTTCTCTGCAGTTGCTCAGAACTTCACCCAGAGGAGCAGCAGATGTACAAAATGACAGGATTCTTCATGGCTTTGCAGCTGTCGGGGGCACTATGAATAGCAGCTGTTAAACTGGCAGTCGTGCTGGGTCTCCTCTCCTCTCCTCCTGCTCAGTGAACTTCTGAGCAGGAGCAGAGGTATTGTGCTGTCTCAGTGAGTCAGCTCCTTGTCTGTACTTGCATTTGCAGTTGTTTCATATTGAAGATCATGGTTTTTTTTTTTTTTTATGAGGAAGATAATATATTCATTCAGTTCTGCAGAAAGTGATCTGGCCTCTAAGCTTGGATGAAGAAAAATCCCCACTGTTGGTAATGGGCTTATTAAATCTTGTGTGAGTAACTGAAAATCAGTACTGCCCAGCAGCTGACCTCTGTAAAATAGCCTTTTTTTTTTTTGAAGTTGGCAGCCAGCATCTCTATGGGCACACGTACATAATGCTTCTGTGCTGGTTGATGATCTCAGCAGAGCAGTGGCTGGTTGTACAGTCAGAGAAACTGACCCACTATTTTGTTTGTAGGGCTGCTCCAAGTCATCCAGGGTACAGGCAGTGCTCTGTGGGAGACCTCAGGCTGCTGCTGAGCCAGGGCTGTACCACTTCAGCATTGCCAGCTCTTTCTTTTCTTCAAAAAAAGAAATAATTTGTCACCCTTAAAGAAATGGAGTAGCTGGCTACTGGATGACTTCAGGACCTGGCAGAATGAAAATATACAAAACCAGTCTGTAAAGTGGTTTTGGAAAATGGGATCTTTTTATAAACGGCCATAAGCTTATTTTAATTTAGCCAAAGCAGCCTTATTGGGGCAGTGACTCCAGTCACTAAAGAGGTTGGGATTTCCCTGGCTACACCCAGCTAGTCAGTTGCTCTCTGAAGCCCATGGTTCAGGTGTCATGATGTGTTGCAGGAAGAATGGCCTGGCATGAAACAGGATGTGCTGTTTCCATGAGCTGTGCCATAGGCAAGGCTGAGTGTTTATAAAGAAGAGAAATGAACCCCAGAAGTTCTCCAGACACCTCTCCCCTTACAGTGCTGGGTGCTCCAGGGCAGTGAGCGAGCTGCTTTCAGCATTCCTGGATCTGTTTCCCCCCAGGCTGCTGGCAGAGGCTGACAGCTGAGCTGCTGTAGGTCTGTTGTTTGGGAATGGTTGGGTCCTGTCAGACACGGGACTGGCAGCACAGTAAGCATTCTCATTTTTGGGTGCTGGGAAATAGGACTGGCTGCCTGGCTGCCTTGTTTGTCTCAGTGAAAACGTTTCCCTTTACTGGAATAGCTGCCCCCTTCTTGTTGGTTATTTAAGGGAGTGGAAAACTGGAGTGAAGTATTGGTTGTTTTTTTCCTCCCCCTCCAAAAATGCAACAAAACCCAACATATTCCTGGGGAGAGAGAAGTTTCACTTCTGACATACTCCCTGTTTTGGATCATGCACTTGAGCTGATGGTGCCAACACTTGCAGGGGTGCTTTTAAGAAAACAGTATTGCTTTTAAGAAAATCTTTTCAGTGTTCCCATATAGAGGGAAAGGTGGGAGGTAGGGGGTGAGGGATGAATGGATCAGGGTCTGTGGATATAACACAATCCCTGGAAGCATATTGCAGTATTTCCCCCAACTCTTACCACTGGCTTATTTTTTAGGTAGTGGATATCCTAGATCCTCTCTAGGCCTGGTGGATAATTGCAACACAGTACCTCTGATGAATCCTAACTTCAGTGAAACTTCACATTATCACAGATATGATAATGTGAGAAGCAAGCTGGAGAATTATCAGCTGGCTCAGGGTTTGTGTTAGCAGGATTTTGTTCATGCAAGACACAGAAGCTGTTTATTCCTCCTCGTGCTGCTCAGGTCATAATTGCAAGTATTGTGCCTGGCTGCAGACACCATTCTTTGAGACCTTAAAGAGAGAGAGAGGAGGGAGAGGCATGGAAATAACTCAAAAACTGAAGTATAAAAGTTTTACAGAACCTAACATTTTAGGCAAGATTGATAGACATGGAATTCCTTCTTTGGCTATCTTTCTTTTCATTTCCTTAGATGATATGAGAGTAGAAAGAGGTGGATCTTTTGAACATTGTTTGGAGCTTAATAAAATGAAGGAAAACAGAGATTTGAGTTACAGTAAAACAAAATTCTTCTTTTTTCAAATCCTGAAGCACTGTTGTAATTTAGCAACTTGATAACTTCACTTAATATCATTTAAGACTTTTTTTTTTGGTCTCTTTTATTACATAAACTGAGGGTGGCTGCTTCTTTTAACGAGCAGTACTACATGTGGACTCTAGTGTGGTGCCAGCCACGATGATCTGTGATAAACCAGAGGAGAAAGTGGTATCACTTATAGTCAGTTCAGTGCATGGGTTTCTGGTGGTTTCCTCAGCACAGCAGATGTGGTGCTGCAGCTGTCTGCAGCTCTGTAGCAACCTGGCTCAAGAAATCCATCTGACTGAAAAGTAAAGCAGCCTTCTTGCCCCTTCCTGCCCTGCACCTGCTGTGCATTGAGGCTTTCACTGTAGTGTATTGCCCCGTGGAAACCTCAACCACCTTGCCAAAGTTACATAAAAACAGAGTGAAGCTTTAGGAACCAGAAGGCTAATTCTGAGAAAACATTACTGCTGCAACTCTTGAAAACTGTGTTTGTAAGGTTTTGTAAAACAAAGTTGTGTGCTCTCAGATCTGTTTGGGCTTACACCTTACACATCTGCATCACAAAAAGAATTTTGCAGGGGAAGTACCTGTGCTGTAGCTCACTGTTAGCTAAATATGCTGGGGTGAAAGGTAAACAGATTGTATTTCCTCAGTCTAGTTCTAACCTGAGAAAGAAATAACTGACTAGATCCTCTTCTACAGTTACACTTTCATTCTTTGCAGTTTCTCTCAGCAGCCTTCCTTTAAAGGAAGGAAGGGAAGCAGGTTGTGGGCTGTTACTGTGCCCCTTTTGAAGGGTTTGCAAGACAGAGCTGAAGTGAAATGCTTCTTTGTTCAAACCCACGTGCAGCACTCGTTCTGTTTGGCAGGCTGTGCTCCATTTTAACAGAAATACCTGGGAAATGACAGTGCTTTTAGCAGACCTGGTGCAGGTGCTGTGAAGTGTGTGGCTAGGGAGCCAACACAGACCTGGTGGCAGGTTGCAGTCCACCTCTACGACAGTTCATTTTCATCTCACCAGAGGGATGTCAGTAAAAATCCAGACAGAGGAGGTAGAAAATCCTAACGTGAGAATAGCCTGCTTGAGCAATCATTTCTTCTTTGCCCAGGAGGGTCTGTGTGCAGCTGTCATTTGCTACCCCAGCCGATGAAAGAGGCTGAGTGATGTCATTTGGCTGAGTGCTGCTGTGCCCGTGCAGCGCACCCTGCTGAAAAGCCAGGGCAAGTTCTTCCCTGCCTCTGGAGAGCCACAGGAAAAAAAGTTTCTGTTTTTCATCTTGGCTTTCAAAGATAGCATAGCTCTGCCCCACAAAGAGAGAGGCTCTGGGAGAGAGGCTGCTGAGAAAGTGAGGAAAAGCTGCTTGTAGGGGCAGTGGGTGTTTTGGGGAGGGTTGTAGGGTACTCAGAAAACCAGGCATCAACTGTTACCATCTCCTAGGACCTGACTTTCTCAAAGGTTTCCCCTCAGGCTCTCAGGAATATGTTGAATGATGAGCAGAGGAACAGGGTTGTGCTGTGCCTCCTGTCGAGGCTTTGGGTTCACCTCTTAAAGAAGTGAATAATCTTCCACTGCTGTTCTCTGTCTCTCTTTACCAGCACCCTGGAAGGGTACTACGTTGATGACGCCCTCCAAGGCCAGGGGATCTACACTTATGAGGATGGAGTTGTCCTCCACGGCACCTACGTGGATGGGGAGCTGAATGGGCCAGCCCAGGAGTACGACAGCGACGGGCGGCTGATATTCAAGGGGCAGTACAAGGACAACATTAGACATGGGCTCTGTTGGATTTACTACCTGGTAAGCCTGGCCACTTGCTCTCCTCATGGCAGGGTAGTGCCACTATGCAGCTCTCTTTTCTCCCCAGATGAAACAGAAAACCCACCATGACCCAGCTATCCAAAAGTCAACACACACAAATCTCTGTGTTCTGATATCAGGTAGTCCCAACATACAGTTAAACTTTTTCAGTGTTGAATGTTTGCCCAGCAGGCAGGATTCAGCAAGGCAGGCAACATGCCTCCAGTATTTTCATCTTCAAGGGTACCCAGGCCCTTGGAAGTGCATTTTTATCTCCTTGGGAAGGGTGGGCTGGTGATTCTGTCATTAGTGCTGACTGCAGGTGAGGAGAATGGGAGCCATGAAAGCTACTGCAACCTGCTGCTCTTATTAACTAGGAGGGGAGACTGTTCCTGAAGGGTATGTTGTGAATCTGGCTTCACCCAGCAAGTCAGATGTAGCTGGTGTGAGAGCTGTGCCTCTGACTGGAGTGTGGACAGAGTGCTTTGCTCATAAAGCAAGCCAGAATTTTATCCTTCTGATTCTTCATAAACAGATATTCCTCTGGAAAATTCTGGAGAAATTTTTGGTGTGCTTTTATAACCGTGCTAGTTAGGACAATAATGGTTGCACCATAATTTTTTGTAATGTAAAATTTTAAAATCTTAGCTTACACAACACTCCAGAGCTGAACCTCTCAATCTTGACCTTGTGCTGAGGAGAGGGAAACATCTGCATGTGGTTAAGCTGCTGGTCAAAACCCAGCCTATTTCTATGCTGTGTATTGCACGTGCCTTAGCTGCAGATGCATTTCAGATGCTCACCATTGGCTGTTCATTTTATTTACTGTTTTTCACTATTGCCATTAAGCAAGTGTTAGAATCAACAAAAGCTTAGTGTACACTGCCCAACAAGTAGCATTTTTTCAGTGCCAGTGTGTAAAATACACACAGCTGACCCTTCAGGTCATACGTCCCCCTTTCATCTTCCAGCTGACAAAATGTTGCTGTACCTTCAGGAAATGTGGATATTTGGAGGTTTTTTGTTGTTACCATCTTGCCAGAGTAAAACATGCAAGGTGTTTCACAAAAATGTTTGCCATGGAAGCAATTGTTTCTGCATGGGTCTGTGCATGATGCTGTATGCACACATTTGTACCCAAACCTGGGGTTCACTCTGCATCACTGTGGTGTGTTTGAAGCTCTTTCCTCCTTTGAGTTGAACAAAATGGTGCCACTCTGAAACAGGGTCTGTGTGCAGTGATCTTGATCTAAATCAGTCTGTTTCCACATCATACCTGCTGGCTTTGCTCCAGGGCATTATTTGAAGATGTTTCCTTGTCCTTTTTGAAACAAGTACTTAGACTTGTGCTAATCTGTGCATCTCATCCTGCAATTCTGTAAACTGACCTAACCTGAGCTGCAGGCAGGTCACAGATGGCAGAGCCCAGGGCTAAAATGTGTAAACCTTAGGTCACAGACTGTTCACATAAAAATTTTGCCAATTGAAACTCAATATTTTTGTCACACAGGAGGAAAGACTTTTGCCTATTTCAGACAAGGCAGAAAACCCTGTTCATTTCTTTTGTCAGTTTTATCTGGCTGGAATGACTTCACCCAGCTTCTTCATGTGTCAGTGTTTGCACTCATTTTCATGATCTCACATCTGAACTTGCTGTAGCTTAGATTGCCTCTTTAAAATACTGGGGAAACTCTTTTTCATTTACTGAAGATATTAAGGTATAACTAAATGCTCTGCCTTTTCTTTCTTCCCTCTGCTTTCAGGATGGAGGCAGCCTTGTGGGAGAAGTAAATGAAGAGGGGGAGATGACTGGAGAGAAGATAGCCTATGTGTACCCTGATGGGAAGACTGCATATTATGGAAGGTTCATAGATGGAGAAATGATAGAAGCAAAACTGGCAACTCTGACTTCTGCAGAGGATGGGAAACCTCAGTTTGAAGTAGTACCAGGCAGTAAGTTCAGCTAACACAGAAACTGGTATTCTGGCTGCCAGCTTTTCTCTGCAAACAGCCTGGTTTCTGTGATGTTCCCTGTTAGAC